TATAAATTTTTAAATTATAGTGTCAAAATTTTGATTATTAAAAATTTTATTAACTTTTGGATTATAAATTTTTCTATTTGAGTTTTCGATCCCTAGTGATGCGTTGTTTTTAACATGTTACCGTAAATTTTCATATTACTTGAAATTCTATTCTGTGAATTTAACCTCTAACTTAAATTAGCTTCTTTTTTATACCTGTGCTTAAGTTTCATTATCAGATTTTGTATTTTATAGATGGGAGTTACTCAAAATACAACATCTTTATTATAAAATATATTTTCTATCATATTAAATGATGTTAAAATTAGTCGGAACTTCGGTTTTTTGATCGATTCATGAGATGTGGAACAATGTTAAATTCGAAATTTCAAATTAGAATTTTTACCAACAAATATCTAATATAATATTTCATCTTTTATTTGAGCAATTCATTAGAAAAAGGCAAAAAATCAATAAAATGAGTAATGAAAAGTTATAAATTATTTCGATTGATTTAAGTTTGATTTTCTTTTGTTTCTTTCGTATTCTAAAAAACTGTATGAAAACGAAATTCGAAGTATACTTTATTCGTCGATTTTAGCAATTATTTGTCTTAAACCTTTCTATTTTAAAATTGTTAAAATAATGCCATTCTTCTTCTTTTATTCCCTTTTTTCTTTTTTCTTTTAGAAAATTTCATTTTTTGTTTTTTTAATCCAATTTCTTTTCTATCTTCTCTCTCTCTCCATATATATTAATTTGATTTAATTATGGATGAAACAAACCGTAATCAGCACTAATTAAGTTTTAAAATAGAAAGTAATTGGCATTATTTTAACAATTTTAAAATAGAAAATTTTAATCTTAAAAGTTGATGAAAGGGAAAGTTTTTAGCGATATTCCCGCAATTTCTTATGTATGAATCAAATTTATTTTTTTTCAAGAGAAAATTATTTTTCCGTTTTTTTTCCCGATACAGTTATTCTTTTTTCCCTTTCTTTGAATAATATATTTATACGTTTGTCGAACAAATTATTTGCTTTATTTTTGAGCAAAAATTGTACTAATGAAGAATTTATTTTGTTTTTAATTTTGATTTTTTCTTGTTTTTTTCATTATTTGTGATGACTATTTATTACCATTTAAACGATAAGAGATTTTAATATTTAAAAAAAAAGATAAATTTGTTGGAGATTATGTTTTTCATAGACAGTTTTATAAAAACGTAAACTAAACAACTGTGATATCAATTATTAAATTGAAGAATGATACGTAATCAGATTATTTCAATTTATAATCTCTTAGCTTATTCAATTCACCTTGGGGGATGTGAAAATTAAATTATGAATTTTTCGAGTTTTATTTTCATTCCAGAATTGAGTGGATTGAAAAAAAAAACGGCAAGTGACGTGAATGGTTATGTAACATAAAGATTTCGCAAAAGAGAAGAAATTTTTAGGATTGAGGAATAAATTTGAAATTCCGATTTGGTTTATCAAATTTTTGAATGATTTTCCTTTACCGTTATTTTTTCTCTAAATTATTGTGATTTTATAGCTTTTTAATCATTCGATTTCTGGATTATCTATTTGATTATATTTTTAAAGATGATAATATTCATATTGTTTCTTCCTTCCTGTTGATAGCTCATCGACTAAAAAAAGAAGGAAAGAAAAGTGAAAGAGAGAAAAAAAGCGAGAGATTTCAAGAAAAACAGAGTGGATATATCAAATGGAAATTCAAAAAATGGATTAAGAATTAATTTGGAAAGCTTTTAAAAACTTTTATGGAATTCTGATTTTTTTAAATGTTTTAATGTGTTGGATTATATCGAAATGCTGAAATTTTTAAAAAGCTTTTCCATTTTTCCTATAATTGATAATTGAAAAACAAAGGTAAAAAAAACTTAAACGGACATTGATGTTTTATTAAAATTTTTAAAAAAATACCTAGCTTTGAAATAATTACATTATATTTTGGTAAATTCTTTTTTATCAAATATGTATTAAAATTTCATTCACTTTTTTTTGAAGCTCGCAGCAGCAATTTTACAACAATCTCAACATGGACAAGCAATGAATATATTTTCGAATTTCCCATTTCCACCATCACAATCATCATCATCCTCCGCTCTTGACAGTAACAATTTTGTCACAATCGAAAATGGTCAACAACAAATGGAAATATCAGCCAATACACAGTCAACAAGTATGATGACATCAATTAATAATGATAATTGTTCGGAACAAAAAATACCACCACCACCATTACCGCCACCACCACCGCCACCACCGCCACCACCATCATCGTCATCGTCATCATCATCATCATCATCATCCTTATCATTATCATCGTTATCAAAACCTGTTCCGTCATCATCATCATCATTATCATCATTATCAACAACAAAACCATCAACAATAACAACAACAACAACAACAACAACAACAACAACAACAACAGCAACAGCAGCATCAAATGGACAACAGAAATTATTGACCCAACGACGAAATGATACAAAGATCGATGATCAACGACATCGGAAATACTCACTTCAAACGGTATTACTTAACGAAAAAAAGAGTTGAAAAATTTTTTTTCATGTCAGTTTTAACTTAAATAGTATCAAAGAATACTTCTTTGAAAAACGAATTTTGATAGGTTTAAGAAAAAAATTAAAATCTCATTCTCAATTTATCAACGAATTTTCTCATAGCATTTTATTATTTATTAACTATCAATATTTGCGGATAACATAGGAATATATTACATTATTTGAATTGATATGCTAATAAAATAATTTATGGATCTATTTATGTGCTAATAATAATATTCGATACTGATATCATAAATGATTATATTATCAAATATAACCATTGAACATCCTGTACAAATCGTTTTCAGTTTTTTTCAAAAACTTTTTTATGTAACATAATATTAATTTAAATTAAATTTAATTTTTATCTCTTTTCTTAAAAGAATACTGATTCCATTTTTAGGTATTGTTTTTGAATATTTTTTCTTTTTAGACTTCACAAAATAATTGGCCCGGTGAAAATGATTGGATGGAAAATGAGAAGCATGCATCGAACAAAGAAACTACAATGAAAAATGGACATAGTGAGGAAAATAGCACGGAAGGAGAACCAATTTGGGTTATGAGGTATTAAATTTATATACTGTAATATGGTATGTACTGTAATATGGTATGTACAGTAAATGTCTTCGTGTATACGGTGACATGTATCCTTGAAATGCTGCAAAGATGTAAGATACATGTTTAGTTGTTGGAATTTAATCTTAATTAATTTAGTATTAAATCAATGTTTGTCATTACTTAAAATCAGAATTTATAATTTTAGTGAAATGAATAAATGATTATTAGTTGTTCAATTTTTTCATTTATTCAATATATTATAATAGTAATAAATTTATTGCTTACATATGATTTAACCGGAAAATGAATTTTATATTTAGTATTTTATTCAAGGCGTTATTTTATTTTAGATTATGATATTTGCATAGTTATTAAAGTAGTTTCACAAATGTTTCAACTAATTCTAAAATTGATTTTTGAAATTGATGAAATGTCGGTTTAAATTTTGAACTTATACTTTCAAGAAATTTGAATCTTTCATCAGCTCTAGCAAAATTTTTATTTTTACGACTTATTTTTTTACATTTTTTCTTTTTTACTGCATTAATTCAGAATTAATATAAGTGTTAAAATTTTTGTTTAATTTATCGAATACAACAAAATTTTTTCATTGCAGAGATTCTTATTTGAAGAGGGTTCAAAGGAAAGAAAATCAAAATAATGAACAAATTATGGAAATGAACAAAAGCTCTGAAAGTGAGTCGAGTATTATCAATTTACAAATTTTCAACTGTAACGTTTTCAATTTTGACAATATGATATGCATTTATTACATTTATTAATTCCTTTTTTTTTTCATTAAATATAATTTTATGTGCAGAAGAACCAATTTCGGATGAAGCAATAAATGAAACCGAAAGTTTGCTATCAAAGGATGAACAAGGTGGTGATGATGGAATTAGAACAAAGAAAGGCTCTAAGAAGGAAGGTTTGCTTTTAAAATTTTTTTTTCTCATTTATTTCAATTTTTTTCTTTCTTGCCGTTAAAGGCATACCAGAATTTACATTGTTAATGCCAATTGTTTGAATAAAATTGAAATTGATTATTATAAAAAAAGGACGATAAAATCAATTGAAACTAAAAATTTCAATTTTATCCTTTTCTTATTGCCTTATTTTTGCATTTTTTGTCGCCATATAAGTAATTTATTTCGTCAAATTTTATTTATTTTTCGAATATTTTAATTCTTCTCAATGTAAAAAATTTTTTATTTTGCAAAATCGAAATCAAATTTTTAATTTGATTTTTTTTTTAATTTAAATGATTTCATTGCAGTTATAGTACATGAGCCAGCGGTACTCATTGAAGGTGTGCTATTTCGAGCCAGATATTTGGGCTCAACACAGCTAATTTGTGAGGGAAGACCGACGAAGGCAAGCCGTATGATGCAAGCGCAGGAAGCGGTAGCTCGAGTTAAGGTTAGAAATATTTGAAATCAAATCTATTCCACAATTCTAGTTTTAAACCAAATTTTTTGAATAATTTTGATGTTGTTCATTTGAATAATTGAATTATTTGCAAAATTTTAAAACTTTAAAATATGCAAATATAATGTTTCTTGTTCAACAATTATTATATTTTTTTTATCCAGTCTTTAATCTATAAATTTGAAATTTATAAATGAAAGTATGCAAATAAATTCTTCATTTTGCCACATATCTTACTTGATTTTAATAAACAAATTATTGGGAAAGTTTTAATTTGCAAATTTTTAAAAGTTTAAAATATGCAAATATAATATTGCCATTTAAACAGTCCCATTATTTAAGGCACCAGCAGGTGAAATTCAACCAAGTACAGATATCGATTTATTCATATCAACAGAGAAAATTATGGTATTGAATACTGATCTTCAGGTTTGTTCATGCATATATACCATATATGATTGCCTTAAAATTACATTATGCTTTATAATTGCTTTCTAAATTAAACTTAAATTAATTTCTAAATTTTTGAATCAGTACCAAAAATGATTTCCCATTATTTATTTTAACCATTCAGCACATTATGATAACATTTATATGAAATTGAAAAGATGCTTGAAATTTTGTTATTTTAGCAAAAAATCATTTGCTTTTCGTATTTTCCTTTTTGTAAAATAGTTCATTCGTTAAATTGTTTCAGCGGATATCAGATACAGATGTTCGACAGGTATGTACTATAAATCAAAGTTAAAGAAATAGTAATTTAGTAATCAATATGATTGTTACTTTGCTTTTGCTTTATAAAATATTTAATGCATCATTTTTTCTCTCCTTTTATACTTCTTTTCTTTTACTCGTGAAAATTAACTTTCTACATGATTATAGTAAAGACTGCATGCAAATCTGAATTTTGCTACAAGCTTAAACTAAAAAATGATTTGTTAATAATCTACTTCAGATCTATTGTTTTATTTTTTAAACTTTGCTAATATTACAGGAATCGAATATTAAAACAAATGTTATGTTTGCTTTGAAGAAAATTTGAAATTAAAAAAATCTGTAAAAGTAAAATTTAGACAACATCAATTAAAATTTCATTCATTCAGCATTCGAATTTACTTTTGTTAATATTTCCCTTTGTTATCCGTTAAACTTTTCGCTATTATTAAATTTCTCTCTACATCTTTCTTTTTTTTCGTCTATTTTTTCCATCATTTACTAAAATGGAATTTTTAACATATTTTTTGTGTCTATTATTATATTAAAATATTATAAAGCATTTTTTCTTTTGTTTCTTTTGCGAAGAAATTATCAGTATTCAAATTTTTAAATTATCATTGTAGCAGTGTAATACCAAAAATTTGATAAAAGTGTTAAAATAAAATTTGACTCGATATCCTTTTGAAGGATAGTGTTTTGACAAATAATAATTTTATTTCTTCAATTAATTTCCATTCTATTTTCTTCTTTACTTTTTATCTCATCCGTTTGCGCAAGTAAAAATTAAATTTTACACAGATTTAGAGATAACTGTTAAAAATTTTCTTTGAAACTTTAAAATTTCATATAAGATAATTTAAAATGCTATTTGATCTAATATTTCTTTGAATCTATTTAATATTTCTAGTTCATAATTATAAATCCATTATGTGCAATAAGTTTTCTCGAATCATTTCCTTAAAAAATTATAGAATACTTATTCATTTCTTTTTATTAACAAATGCTTTAGTTTTACACTTTATCATATCGAATGTTTTAAACTCACTTTGTTTAGATTCATGTTACAGGTAAAAACTTGAAATTCTTAAATCTTTTTATGAATGTTTATGTCATGCCATTAATAATTACTCCTCTTAGTTAATTGATTGATCGATCATTTGAAAGTGTTATCAGTTAATCTGTCATATAACTTTGGTGATAAAGAAGTAAACTTTTTTTTTGCAGGATATATTAATGGATCATGCATTACGAACGATATCATATATTGCGGATATCGGTGATTTGGTTGTTTTGATGGCACGGCGGATGTCACAATCGTCTAAAGAGGACATTTCTGTAAAGTATGAAATTGTTTTAAGTAAAATTTATGGTCAATTAATTATAGTTTTATTGAGAAACATTTAAAAATCTCTCTCGATTAGATTACAATGTACAATAGACAACCAATTTAATAAGAAAGGCTAAAATTTCGCAGCTAATGATATGAAGGTTAAGAATAACTTTTCAATTGCGTTTTGTTTTGCAGTTTAAATTTTAGTAAATGTGAATTTACTCAACTAGTATATTTTTAGACACTTTAAGCATCATAAAAAAAAGTCTAAATATTTTTGATAGAAAGAGAAAAGAGGCTAAAATCGTTCAAATTCCTAAAATTGACTAATTATTTGCGATTAAAATCATTTGCCATTCATGAATATTTTTTATTTTATTAAAATTTCAAGCAAAAATCATAATTTTTAAATGAAATATTAAATGGGTAATATATCAGTGATATATTTTGTTTACAGTACACCTCGGGTGATATGTCATGTTTTTGAATCCGATGAGGCATCATTTATTGCCCAATCGATTGGACAAGCCTTCCAGGTTGCCTATGTCGAATTTCTTCGTGCCAACGGTATCGATGACCCATCATATTTGCGTGAAATTGATTATCAGGTTTAATTTATTGCCTTTCATCCTTTCCCTTCTGCATTTTTTCTTCTTTAAACTAATTTTTTTATTACTGATAGATTAGAAAATTCTCAAAAAACTATTTTTTTTTAGCAAAATAAAATCTTAAAATATTAGTTGAAATAGAAAAAATTAGTGAAATGTAGTAAAATAATTTTGCTATGTATTAATTTTCATTCAATTGAAATTTATGTTTTTGCATTTGAATTTGTTGATCGACAAAGTCGCTAAATTTTGAACCTAATTTTATAAATGCCATGCTATGCTTAAGTTATTATAATATAGTCTGCTTAACGTCAATCATTTGGTTTATTGATTACATTTTTGATAATTGACTACTGTTTAGTTTTCTGTTTAATTCACGTGAATTATTTATTTAATTCAACTTGCAATATGAGCAAATGCAAATTTATTCAATTTTAATATATATCCTAAAAAAATTTTACAATTTCGAAGCAAATTTTGCTAATTAGCAAGTGAATTGTACGATTTCATGTTAAAAAATTTGTTAAAAGAAAATTTTCAGGAAGTGTTAAGTTCACAAGAATTAATGGGTGATGAATTGGAGATGTTTGCTAAGAAGGAAACTCAAAAAGATGTTGTTGTACCGAAAAAAGCTGGTGAACCGCTCGGTGTTGTAGTTGTTGAATCCGGTTGGGGTTCCATGTTACCAACGGTTGTTATTGCTAATTTACAACCAAATGGTGCTGCTTGTCGTTGTAATCATTTAAATATTGGTGATCAGGTAACTAATATTTTTCTGTTTAATTAAGAAAATTAAACAACAGATACTTTTTTTTTTTAAAAGATGAAGTAAAAATTAGAAAGTGAAACATTAAAATTGAAAAAGAAAATTTACATTTCAATCATCTTTTTCCTATTTAGCAGTAATTTTTTACTTATTTGTTTACTTTTTTCAGATAATTTTTTTTTTCAGATTAAGAATTTATTTATTTATTTTTTTTCAGATAATTGCAATTAATGGCATATCATTAGTAGGTCTTCCTTTAGCTTCCGCGCAACAAAATATTAAGGTTGGTTAATTAAAAATTTTTTTCTACTGGTAATTTTTTTGTGAGCTATGATAATTGTTTATTTATTACTTTCATAATTATATTTATTGAAATTGTTATACAATATTTTTAGGCAACAAAAAATTCCACAGCTGTAAAATTAACAGTTGTTTCGACGCCACCAGTTGTTGAAGTTAGAATTCGACGTCCTGATACCAAATATCAACTTGGTTTTAGTGTACAAAATGGAGTGGTAAAAATTATCGTTACATATTGTTTTGTTTCAATGCTAAATTATTGTTTATCGTTTCATTTATTTATTAGTTATTATTGTTGTTGTTATTTAAAATTTGGAAATGGAAGAAATTACTGAAAAAAAGGCCAATCTTTTTGAATATTAAATTTTAGTATTAATCATTTGTTTTTTCATTTTGCCAAAACATCATAAAATAATTCAATTTTGAGAAAAAAGATACAAATTCATTAAAAAAATGAGTAAAATTGAAATCTAAAAGATCGCTTAATTATGAATTAAAATGAAAAATTAAGACAAATATCAAATATGCTACGTAACAACACTATATATGATTTATATTTTAATACTTGTTTATGCTTGTTTGAAATTAATTTTTCAAATCTTTTCCAGAAATATTATCACATTTAAATTTCATTAAAAATTTCAATTTGTTTTCTCGCTTTTTTTCTTTCTTTTTGAAAAATTTTCCATTTTAGATTTGCAGTTTATTACGCGGTGGTATAGCGGAACGTGGTGGAATTCGTGTTGGTCATCGAATTATTGAAATTAATTCACAAAGTGTTGTTGCAGTACCACATGAACGAATTGTTAATATGTTAGCATCAGCAATTGGTGAGATTCATATGAAAACAATGCCCACATCAATGTTTCGTCTGCTCACCGGCCAAGAAGTGCCAAATTATATTTAATAAAAATATTTTCGTTTTATTTTGTTTTTTTTTTTCGAACTTCTGTCTTTGTCACATCAATTTTTTTTCATTTATTTCCTTTTTTTTTGATACAGTATTGTTATATTCGTTAAAAACGAGAAATTTTTTTGTACTTTTTACTTATTTTTATTTTATCACTTATGAAACTAATTTTATTCCTTTCAAATTGTTCAAATTTTTACAACTTCAGTTAAATGAGAACTGTTTCAAATTTATACATTTGAAAGGAAAAAAAAAATGCTAAAATTTGATTTCTTTTCATGCATTCTTAAAATACACCAAAATGGATTAATGATTATTGGTGGATGATTTTTAGATGCATGAAATGAAAATTTGTTATTTTAATATATTGTAGTATAACATACTGTTGGTTAAAATATATTGGGAAAGTTTATTTTTCCTAGATCTACCGTTACACGGGTATAAGGAAGGGCTTTATGCAATTAGCATTATAATAAAGTTTGTTTTTCCTTCTAAAAAGATATGAGAAATGGAATTTATTTTATGAGGAATAGAATATTCAAATAAAGAGAAGTCCAAATTTTGGGTTATTTGTTAGAATACCGACTTTTCGGAATTTTTCATATTTACGAATGGGAAAAATCCTATTCCAACACATTTCCTACAGGGATTTTAAATGGAACTAATCATGATTTTATTGTTTAATCAGTCCATATATATTTCACATACTTTTTTATCTCCTGTGATATAATAAAAGCATTTGATTAGGTACATTATACACCAATTGTATTTACATCTTCCTATGTGGTTTTATAGGAATTATCTTCCTTTTCTTTTTTATGTCCGTATGTCATTATGTTTTGGTTTTTTTTTTGTTTTAAAAATATGCCATATAAATATCATTAAAAAATGTTGAAAAAAATAGAAATTTGGGATAGCTCATATAAATATGTGGTTACTTCTGTTTAAAATGACAATTATTGCTAGTTTATTTGAATACGACAACAATTATACGGAAATGTAATATGTACAGAAAATATACAAATGGGATCAATCAAGATTTCCACACACTTTAGAAAAAATAAAAAATAGTAAATTCCATGAAAAAAGGCTATTTTTGTTCGTATAACCTTTTGTCTACATAAAAACATGATACAAAGGTAAACAAATTTTATGCATGAAATGAAACTTGTAATAGTAATCAGTAGCTGGTGCAGAAGTACGAAATTTTACTGAAAATATAGGAAAATCAAAATGTTGAAATGTAACAGATAAACATATCTCAAACCTTCGAACATAATGAAAAAATTGCTAGATCCCATATGACAATGCCTTTCGTACTGTAGTTTCGGATTCAAAAGGATCATTGTTGAATTTTTTCTTTGGTTGGAAAATTGATATAGCGGATCGAGGCCTTCTATGCTGCACAATAATTTATAAAATTATAGAATGCTTCAAAAAGAATTATATGAGGAAAAATTACTGTCCTACGAGATACAAAAGGCCTTTTTTTTACAAAAAATCCTTTCGTTTCTTTATGGCTAAAAAAGTACAATTACAATTTAAGTCAAAAATAAGCCAGCAGAATTTAAGGTTGACTAACAAAGGCATTTGATATATTCCTTCAGAGCACGATTTAACGGTAATTCCATCACTCGGCGTTCGAATAAAGAAGCGAATGTACAGATATCACTGAACTGCCGCCCACGTTCCTCTAAGCGTGCCTCTTCACGTTTCTTCTCCTCTTCTGTTTGCAACTGAAAATAAATTCCTTATTTGCACTAAATTACCATTTTCATAATAAACTTCGTAAGATAACGCAAGACCTTACAGGACTTGGAGACCTTACTAGTTCAAATTAGACTCCACTTCCCGATAATTCAGTAATATGTGGCCATTAAAAAAAATCCTGAAATGCTACCCGATAGGAAATAATGCATATCAAGATAGAAAGAAATAAACAGACCTCATCTTCAACATCACATATACGACGTGACACAGGTTCATCATCCATAGCATCATGATAGTCATTATCGCTCGAATCGCTTTCACCATCATTTTCAGTGTTAGGATTAGAAGCCTGAAATAGTAAAAAATAAATCATTTTCGATAGATGCAAAATAAAACGTGGAATCCTTTGCCGATGCCTTATTAACTCAATGGTTTAGATGTAGAAAAAGCAAACTCAGCTTATAAGAATGAAGAAGGAAAGTAATTTTTTATTTCTGATTTATTGCCATATAAACAATACGGTACATTATCTCTTAAAATATACATACCCGGAACTCATAAAACATAAACATCAATGAAAAAATTTATGTTTGTTAGGGCTTACAATGGAGTTCATGAACTGGTCTAGTACATAAATGAAAACTTGTCAATTTAAAAAATTACCTGACCATCAACTGCAGTAGTCATACGTTGTGCTGCATAACGAGCCGCTAAATATAATCCATTCTCATTCCGGGAACTAACACGATAGCATGGATTATCACTGTCATGTTGCGGATTATTTACCCGATCCTCGCTCGAACTATTATTGGCACTGCCATCGCCATCGTCATCGTCATCACCATCACTATCATCATCATCGTCATCGCCATCATCATCATCATCATCATCATCATCATCATCATCA